TTTTTTATTAATTATACATTACAGCAGTGTAAGAAAGAGGAAATAGTTAGAATTAGTGGGTAGTGAAAGAGACGGGACATAAAAGGTTTCACATGCCAAACTGTACTCATGTCTTGAGTCTATGACCTAAGCTTTTGGGGTTGTTTTATTTACAATAACAGAATAAATAAATGTTGCCCCTTCTTTTCTCTCATCTCCCCTTCGATTTTTCTTCATTTTCAATTGTTGGTGGTCCTCAAAATGAAATTGTTCTTAGCAGTTAGCACCCTAAATTCAAAGACTATGCTATAGTTTAAGGATATGATTTTGCTTTCGTTTTGTAATTTTTTTGTGTGAGCAAGAAGTGAACAAACCATTTAAGTATTTAACAAAAAAAACAGAGTGATCAAACCGTATATGATAGGTTAATGCTCGTCTCCGTCTGCTCGGTGCCAATTTCAAGTTTTGGCCCTGCAAAAGAAACAGATTCGGAATGCGAACTTATAAGAGAGATGCTATCGTATAATCCCTGAAGTGGGGAATATATTTATGCTGTCATATTTCCTCCATGGCGAACTTTTCTAGCTTCGCATTTGTCACTTAACGCAAGGAAACAAAACGCACGTAGCTATCCTTAAGCCACTACTAACACCAAATATCAGAGATGCCTCCTCTCGTTTTCGGTTCCACTTGTCCCCTACAGAACCAAAGAGCATTTGTTCTGTTTATTTGTCATAGATGCCAAAAACTAGATATGATAGTATCATGGAAAATTGAAAGAAAATAAAATAAACAGAACAATTGAAAGAAAAGCAAACGGGAATAATGATAGTTCTATTTTATGTATTACAATCGTTTTTTTTAGTTGTGTGGATATGAACATTTTGATTGTTTTTAGGAAAAAAAATTGAATTTCTATTTACTAGTTTTAGTAAATAATAGTACACGATTTGTGTCTGATCTGTTAGAGCGATTTTAAGCCTAGAGAATTTGTCCCTCCATTTACGGGAATTGTCAATGAGACCAGCTTTTAATATCTTGCCAAACGTGAGATTCCTTACATTACTATGGTATCCAGGCTGTGTTCAGTCCCAAACCCCAAAACCTAAACTCCCGTAGATATTCTGTCCAATTTATACACAGCAATTATCGTATCATTTCTTTGCTGCAATCCCCTCATG